ATTATCTAAGCGATACTCTACCAAAACGCCTGTTTTTCCAGTAAAAGTAAAGGACCCTTTCCCACGCCTTTAAGAGTATAGGGCATATAGGGCTAGACCTGCTTTTATAGACCAATCGGTACCAGATGAGTGATGTGGCCATCATCACGCCGGCCGCCTTCACTTCCCAGGACTGCACCCGGTACCCAATCAAGGCTGGGTCGACCTGGAAGCCAAGGTCATTGTTGAAAAAAAAAGTACGGCTCCACCAGGGAGCAAACCTACGACCTTCCGATCCGCGGCGAGCGTCTAGCCGCTACGCCACAGCGACTCTCCCTGTTTTTTCTATTAAATACCACATATCCATATATCAAATAATGCAAGTTGAATGTTAGCATATAATGCCTATAATCTCAAACATTTTTAAGATCTCCGTTTAATCTATGTTTTACCCACTGCTATTACACGTTCTTTGCAACGCCACGTTTAATTATCTCATGCCAGTGTCAAAGCAAAGTAGCCTGTTTGACATGTAATTTCCACCGCAGCCTTCAGCAAAGATTGATGAAAATAAGAAAATAGTATGTTAAAGCGTGTTCGTCTGCTGGTGCGGCAACCAGCTCATTGATTGTTGGCTTATACTGCCGGTCTGAAGAGGCAGAGACCGGGTACCTCGATTTACATACAAAGCGTGTTCGCAACGCCGAAGCCACAGGCACCGATGAAGGTTTAGTAACGACTATACATATATTTGACATGTTACCTACCGATTTCTGGCTGGAAACTGCTATTCTTACTCAAAGTTCTTTATTTTTCCCTTAGTTTTCATGTTTTAAGGGCATTCATTATTCATGGTTCTTTCTTAATATTCTACCCCAAACAGGGGAAAACCACAGGTCAGGAGACAGTCTAATATTTCAGGGGGTGGTAGATAGGCTGCATGCAGTCGTGGGACCTAGACTGCATGCAGTCATGGGACCTAGGTTGCACTCTCTCGTGGGACGTAGGCGGGTTGGCGTTAGGGCCAGTTCTAGATTTTTTGGTGTCGTTAAAAGCATCAGAAAGTTGGGAAAACCAGGCTTACTACCTTCTAACATAATAGACTGTCCTGTGACGTCATCTAGGGGTAGGGTATTACGAAAGAACCACAGCCTGTACTTCAATTATTGAAGAATAACAGCGCAAATTAGGCATGTCGCTAACATGCGGATTTTCTCACTTTTATGCTGACCTTTTGTACACCTTTTACGATTCTACAGAAATTAAGTGCATACGCATTGAACGGTACTTGTAAAAAGACAGTAGCAATCGATAACTGACGATTGATTTGCTCGCATACAAAGACCATATTCATCAAATCATTTAGCAGAGTAATTTGCCGTTCTGCTTATTGGATAACTAGCGAGAATAACTCTTTTGCTGAGGTTTTGCTTGACAATATTTCAAAACGGATTTGTAATGCAGAACTAAAAGGCAGAACAGGACTAGAGGAGGAGGAGGAAGAAGAGGAGAATGGTTTGTATGGATAGCAATTAATATTAACAATAAACCCAAGGGCGCTGAGACAAAGAAAGCATTGGGGGGGGGATATAAGGGGTCTAAGCCGTGTTTAATGGCGTATTAGTAATAATAATGAAGGATAAAATAAAATGAAGGTTATTTGGGAAATAATTTTAAAAAATATATATAATTAAATACTGTAAATGGTCGGGGGCGATTGGGTGGGGGGGGGGGGAGAGATGCTTAGCCACCTGATGAATTTACGATGGGAGCCCGTTACAATTCATATAGAGGAGAGGGCTCAATGGGCGTGTGCCCCCAAGTTCAGGTGCCCCTGCTTAATTCTGTCGATGCACGTTGTCAGAGGTGACAAACGGGAGTTTGTGTTGCACTGGCCTCCCCACTCTAAAGTTTTTTTGCTGAAAAATGCATCCAGTCACACACACACACACACACACACACACACACACCACACACACCCACACACACACAGACTTCAATGAAAGGGGTAAGGAAAACGTGTGTTAGCTTATAAAGGTTATAGAACATAAAATAACTACCTGTGAAATGTACTGCCTCCATAAGGTCATTAACAACACGAGAATGTACAGGGTTACGAATACTAGCATTAGAGAGAACGTTGGAATAAGACCGTTTCTGAACTATATTCACACACACAGAGAAGGACATGATTCGGCCATCTTGTGAGAATGAAGCCAGACTACACTGTATTTTTTCTTTACCTGCAATTTTTCTTTATTTTGAAGCCTCACCCTAGCTCTTGCCAGGGGCCGCAATATAGCAGGGCCTTAAATATGGCCTAATGGCTGAACGCGGTTTCTGGGACCTCTCTACGGGTGACCCTCATCCACATGGTGGCACTTTGTGTCATTGGGTGTTTATTGCTTGTGTGATGTCCTAGTGGGGTAAAAGTACAACTACTACTACAACCTTTGGGAGGAACGCGAGGGGAAGAAGAAGAAAGAGAAGGGTAAATTGTGTATCTGGAACATGTGAAAAGATGAAAAAATCCATAGTCTAAGCTAACCGAGGAGAGCAAGATAAATACAGAAAACCGTGACACTGGCTTGCAACCTGGTATAATTGAGACGAACAAAACAAGAAGAAGCAAAAACTTATAAAGGTTATGTAAATGCGAAAGGATGGGCTTCATTGTAATGGATTATATTCTTTAAGATATACTAGCTTTATTGTTCTCATGAAAGGGAAAAGTTTATCCCAAGAGGTCTGGAAAACTACAGGCCAGGAAAAGACACATGGGCAAGTGCAACCATTTTTGCTTTTGACGTCTATGAAAGGTTCCAAACAGGATACTATGGCGGTGGGACTGGATCTCAAGGATGCTTATAACAGAGTGAGATATGACATCTTGATGACTGCACTGAAGGAGAAGGAGGTCAGTCAATGGCTGGTGAATTGGGTTGCAGCTGTCCTGTATTCACGTCGGGTTGCTCTTCGACTGGGCTCATGGACCTGAGAACTATGCAGTTTGGCTCCCAGGACTGTCACAGGGACCAGACATCTCGCCAGTTCTCTTTAATGTGTATACGAGCAAGATTGGAAGCCTAGAAGCACCAGGAGTTGGAAGGATACTGACTTTCGCGGATGATGTACTTGCACATAGGCAAGGGGAAGAGAGAGAACAAACAGCCCGGGAGTTGCAAGCGATAGTAGACAAAGTGACTGAGTGGGGTACATAAATGAGGGCTGTTGTCCACTCGGAAAAGGGGTCTGTTTTGTGGTGTTCTCTAGACAACAGAATCTTTAAAGCTAGTGTCCCAAGTCTCACGATAGATTTGTAGAAACGTCAACATAGAGAGCAAACTGAAGTATCTGGGAATAACATTTGACAGGAGCCTGTCCTTTAAGTGTTCTGACAAAATGCCAATAAGGACTTAGTTCACTTAAGACTATGGCTGCAATTGACATAGAGCAGAGAAATCCTTTTCACACTATATCAGCAACTGATCCTGGGACTGCTTACGGTCTCGAAGAGTCAGATGGACAAACTAGAGCGCATACAGAACGCAGCTTTGCGGGTCATTCTGGGCTGCACCAGAGACACCCCAGTGGTGTGTATGCGATACATCCTTGGTTTGCCGACTGTTGCAGGAAGACACAAGGTGAGGCAGGCGAAGTCATATCTCAGGGTAACTGCAGACACAGACCACCCTTTGCATGAAGCTCTGGGTGCAGTTAAGGGTCAGCGGCTGATAAGATGGAAGTCATGGATAGCTCAGGCAGTCGACACAATCAGACAGGTTTGCATCTTCGAGAACATTGGGTGAGGAGAGTAGTTGGTCAAAGTGTCACTTGAACAGTCAGACTTGTGTATGGTCATAATCATACTGAGCCGGGAATGCAGAGACTGGCCAGCAGATGCCACGGAGATGGAAATTCGGCAAATAATTCAAGATAGAGGCAAAAGAAGTGCTTGTGGCTTCTTAGCAAAAGTTAATGGTCGACGTTTGGTGCAGGAGAGTCTAGCATATGATACCACAACATCCAGCTTAAGAATGGAAGTGGAGGGGGTCACTGCAGCTTTCCGCTGGCTAGAGAACACGACACACACACACACACACACACACACACACACACACACACACACACACATCGGGATTGTAATTGACTCAGAAATCATGCTGAGATGGATCAGGACAGTCAAGCTTCGTGCAGAGTGGCATGCCTCGGTGCGGAGGACGCGGATGAGGAGTATTGATTGGATTTTTTCACTGGGTATGCCGGTGTGTTGGGAAATGAACCAGCGGAAAGACTGGCTGGCTCTGCACAGCTTGGTGGAATACTGATACATGATAAGGCAGACGTGGTTAATGCCTTGTGGGAGAGCGTGTACAGTTCGGAGGAGCAGATGGATCACCACAATCTGGTAAGATTGATGCAGAGGGGAGTGATGAGAGGTTCTGGCAGATGCTCGAGGCTCAGCGGAAAGGCAAGACAAACGCTTTATCAGAAAGCTACTGGCACCATTAGTATCGGAACTCTTCGCTGACAGCTGAAGATGGGAACGGAGTGTTTATGAGAATGCCCTAAGTGCTGTGATGTCGGTTCTTGAATCAAATCAAATCAAACGTGCTCGTGAATTCTTAACATGTGTCCTTTTCAAAGAAAAGCGTCTTTTGATGGCGTTGCAGACAGCACTAAACACTATTGCTGTAGCAATGATCTCATGAATCTCCTTGAAAAATCAACGAGTTATCAGCACTTCAGGAGTAACCTCTACAGATAGACGCCACAAGTTACAAGAATGCCTGTATAAGATGAGATTACATTACTCAAATGATTTGCTGATAATAATTTGATTTCTCACTCCAGTTTCCGTTGTGTAAATCATTTTAATTCATTATTGCATGAAAGGGCTTGAACAGAAATTACCGTGAAGGTAATAAATTAAAATAAACAGTATTTTTAACATTAGTATTGTAATTTTTGTGTAAAATTAAACTGAGATCACATTCCTCTTAATTTTCAGTGTATGAATGCTATAAAATGTTCCACTTTCCGGTACGTCTGTATGAGGTGAGAGCTCTATGGGCTTGCCTTCTGATTTTGGCGTCAGGATCTCTATTGAACTCATCAAGCGCCTCGGCAACAGAATCTTCCAAATGCTCTGGGCTACCGTCACATAATGTATGCAGAACTTGATACCTGCAAATAATACATAAATAAATATTAACAGAGCTTATGAAGTTGAAATAAAGCGATGCTTCACTTGGAATGAATTGTGGTCTACTTGAAATGAACCTTGGTTTACACCGACTTTAACGTCTAGGGTTGACAACACAAACGCCGCTCAGCTTCTTGGTACATTCTGTCAGTTTATTCTGGTCCATTTATTTCACATATTCAAACATTATTCACACTTTATCACTCGCGACATATTCAAACATTAACCATTCTCGCGACATAAAGACGACATCTTCAATTACTACAACCGTCTTCTCTGACTTCTGATGATAGACTGACCACGAGGCTAGCTCGGGCTTCCCCTCGCTTACTCCCCCGGCCACAAGTATTTCGTGCTGTCACTTGTAGCCCGAACTTTCTGCTTGCCACAATGTACTCGTGGAGACCATGCAAGTTATAAATATCAATGAATTCTTCTGCTTCTTCGTCTTAGTCCAAGCTCGGGTGGCGTTGGCTATCATGTCTAACCACAGCTTTTTGTCTCGTGTACTTTAAAACAACTCTGACACAGGTGGTCCTCTTTCCACGATGTAAAACTGTCCAGCATCTGCTTTATCGATCTCCCTCTGCCTCTCCTCTCTCTCCAACATTTTTCTCACTATTATCACACGACCAAAAAATGTCTCTTTCTGATGTGGGCAATCAGTTCTTTTCCTGAGTCAATTTTCCTCAAGACGTCTATTAGTTATTGATTCATTATTTGTTAACTCTTCATTGACCGTCATCTGTGTAGTTAAAGTTATCAATTGTACACTGCTCGGTTGTCAGTCACTTCGGGTGTATTTTAGCGTAGTGTATGAACTACAGAGCACCAAAGAAGAAATAGTGGTTAGTGAATGCGTTCTATAACATTTCGGTCCTAGGTTTGACTTGTACTCTGCTGACTTGTTATTTTACACTAACTCATAGTTGACGGAAATAGTAGTCACGAGAACTACCAGGTGCACACGCATTACTGCATAATTCACACGACCAATTTAGTAGCAACTAGCCTCTAAACATTTTCTGAATAAGCAATGTTATAGAAAATCGGTGCTGCACGAAAACACACCTGACATTAGCATCTGGGTCGTTCAACATCTCAAACACACGGTTCCAGAAGTCAGTGATATCTTTCTGAACTCGACAAGGACACATCTCACGCAGAGCTCGCTGTCTAACCTATGCAGAGAAGTCAAAAATAATGGTTTATTAGTGAACTGAAAATAAAACAATCCAATGGAAGAAAATAAATAATGCACATTGAACTGGTACGTTCATGAGAGTAAGATGATAAACTAAAAAACATTTTTGATATCAAGAGCTGTAATGGTGCTGAGAGGCTAGTGTGCTGGGTGGAGTTTAAACCCTATCATAGGCCAGATGTCCTACCGAAAGGCCATGGGTACCAAAAATTCTTCAGAACCTTTAAGAATTGTCTCCGAAGTAAAGGCGATGAAAAAGATAACTCGCCATATCACCTCACACGGCTGTAGTCTGAGACATATGAAGATTCAACATAAAAAGCTTCAATGTTTGTAACTGCTACGGTACTATCTTAACCTTTTTACAAGATAGAATCAAAGAGAGCAACGGCGTTCTAGACAAGTAAATGTAAGAATGTATGTCTCTTCTAAAGTGGCAATATTCTAGGTAGCGATATAAGTTTCCAGTTAAGAAGCACCTTGGACATTCGCATAAGCGCTCCGCCCCCATCTTCAGCAGGAATTACAATGGTAAGAGTAACAGTCTGATTGTGTAGGAGTCACATCAGTTTATTACGCTTCAGCGATATAACTCATAAATGAAAGCAGTTACATCAGACATATATCCATCATTACTAGGCATCTTGATTCGACTGAGGTGAACGCCGTGCTTCTCCAATTCATATCATCAATGATAATAAGTATAATTTCGTGTGTGTTGACATTTTTTCAGTTGGGAAACGAAAAGGGAGAGAGACTGGCTGGTTATTCGCCCCGTGGTGGTGAATTGATGCATGACTAGCTAGCTAGATGTTGTAAGAGTCCTTTGGCAGTAGAGTGAACAGGGCGGAGGCACAAACAGATCATCACAGTCTGGGGAGAATGGTGCTGGGAGGAGTGAACGCGTATCTGGTCAAAGCTAAACACACAAAGAAAAGTCTAGACGGCTATACAAGTAGAGTGTTTTTAGTATCATTGGAACTGGAACTCTGCGCTTTCTGTTGAGACTGGGGATGCGGTGTTTAGGGGAAGTTCAGGGTGCTATAATGTCGATTCTCAACTTACAACTCCTAACTGATACTTCTGCTTTGCCATGACAAACCGCTTACAAAAATCTGTCTCTTGTTGTCTATATCGATCTCCATTTCCATAAATACGTATGCATATTTGTCACAGCACTGCCCAGTGCTGTGACAAGGGAGAATAATGGTCATAGACCAAGAGGCAAACCAAGAAGACGATGGAAAGATAATGTCCAGACAGACCTGCAAACACTTAGTGTCACCAACTGGAAAGAGAAGGCACACCAAAGAGCTGGTTCTTTGATTTCTAGGGCAGTTCCAATGGATGATATTGCTACATTGTACGTTTGCCACTTTAAATGTATTCTGTATGGATTCCAGTGTTCGATTTAGCTTGAGGGGTGAGAATAGACCCAAAGCACATTTACAAGCATGTCGTAAAATGAGACTAATGAAGGGTTTGCCACAATATGAAGGCACAAAAATCACAGTCTAGCTGTGAACCGAAACATAACATCCCAACTGCCCTTTAAACGGCGAACACAGAAAAGGACGATAAATGTGAGGTACACTAATATAAGAATAAGAAAGACGGAAACCAGATGTGGCATTACCTGAGGGTTCTGATGCCTTGTTAGATCAATGATGACGTCAATATCTGTGGTATCTACACACAGTCTGAGAGCATCCTTGAATCCAAGCTGAGAGGGCTTCATTTCTGTTTCACTAGAAGACGTCATTGCTAAACACAGAATGAATACATGTTTTAGGAATTAATGAATGATTTTCTCTAGTTTAAGTTCAGTAATTTACAGTCTGTATCATTTCACGTGTCGGCTCTGTGGCTAAGTCGATGAGAACGCTTTGTAATGCCGGGATGCCATGTTCGATCCCAGCTGAGGGCCATGCGCCTTGCGTTGGTTTCGACAGTGGTATCAAGAAAGCCAACCGTCCAGAAAGCAATGGCAAACTACTGGACATAAATTTGCCTAGAAAAAGCACACAACAGCCAGGGGCTGTTGGGGTTGGTTCTGCAATATCCTGTAAGGGATACGCAACTAACCTAACCTATCATTTCACGGGGTTCTCATTTAATTGAAGTGAGTAGATGGTATCAAGGAGTGGATACACTGTGTCTCTGAGAGCTCATAACCAGGCGAGAGACCGAGTCATCGGGTCAGTAATGGGTCCCAACACACACACACACACACACACACACACACACACACAGAATCATGATGTATCACGGTGCTCTGCCTGTCACTCTCTCTCAATCTCTCACTCGCACTCTCTCTTTTACTCTCTCATTCCTTTTCTCACTCTCTCTCACTCTCACTCACTCTTAGGCTCTCTGTCACTCTTACTGTCTCTCTCTCACTCCCTATCTCTCTGTCACTCTCTCTTTCACACACTCTCTCTCTCTCTTTCTCTCTCTCACTCTCTACCAATATTTAATGTTAAAATTAGGGCTGTACCGAATAGTGATTTTCACTATTCGGCCGAATACGAATAGCTGGACCAACTATTCGGACGAATACGAATAGTGAATCATCATTATCAGGTACTTTGTCGACTGGCGTAGGCGATTACACCTCGCCATAATCTGCGATATCCTGCAGCATGTATTAGTTCGTGTGCTAACACACCACCATGCCATGCAACAAGACTGTCAAGAATCTTCTCTCGTTGTCTTCCTCTATCCCTCCTTCCACAGATCTTTCCAGTAGTCACCGCATGTTCCATTTTCTCTCATCTTATAACGTGGCCGAAAAATGATGACCGTCTCCTTCTGATGTCTGTGAGTAGTTGTCTTCGGGCTCCCGCCTCTATTAAAACCTCTTGGTTGCTTTTCTTTTGGCTGTTAAGGGTATTTTAAGCATTGTTCTGTAAAACCACATCTCTGAGGCCTCAAGAAATTGTTTGGCTTGCCTACTGATTGTCCAGGACTTACAGCCATATGTTAAAACTGGATGTATGTAGCAAGCAAGAATTCTTTTTCTAACCTTCAATGACAAAGATATATTGCATAAGACGTTCTTCATTTTATAAAATGCAGTTTTTGCAAGTCCTATACTGTTTCTTATTTCAGTAATGCATCTTCCATCTGATGTTATCCATGTGCCCAGATACTTAAATTTCTGTACTTGTCCTAAAATAAAACCACTGACTTTTATTACACATTTAGTAATAATTATTTTCTATGATAGCACCATTACTTCTGTCTTTCCACTATTCAAACTGAGGCCCATTCTTCCACTTTCGTGTATAAAATAAATCCAAAAAAAAAACAAAACAAAAAAAACATCCATAATTTTAAATGTACGCTGAAATTTTACTTCACAAAATGTAGTACAGAATATAAAACATTTAAAAACATTTCATGTTTTGCATCATTCAGTCAGTCAGTCTGTGGTAACTAATACCTAGGAATGAAAGTATTCTTAGTTTTATAACAAGTAATTAAACTTGTAAATTGTCACTGACATCTTAGTTAATCCATGAAAGCGGCATTAGCTTTCCACACACACAAAAATCGCTTCATGTTGTCAGCAATAAGGCAGCTTCTTGTCTCACTGAAGCTGTACTAAACAGACGTTCACTTAGTACGCTCGTAGGTGGTGCACAAAGATAACGCTTGGTAGTATGAACCAAAGTGTGAAATCTTGATATGTTTATTTTCTAGCAGTCCAGAAACGGATGTAAGGTAACCACTATTCGTATTCGGCCCGACCGCAACTATTCGGCCGAATACCGAATAGTTATTAGGTCCACTATTCGGCCCCGAAGCGAATACGAAGCGAATATTCGGTACAGCCCTAGTTAAAATAAACACCTACGCACACACCTACTTACTTACAAGCCGAGGACACATTCAAAACAGCAAATGCACAAATTTAAAAAAAAAAAATCTCTTTAACAGCTTTTATCTTGAAGAAAACTACATAATATATATAGTGTGAAAACATTAAACTTAAAGGTTCTTATTTTGATGTTAATAATATTATAACTGAACAACCCTAAATGATCTAAACGCGATGTTATCAATACAACACAAACTTCTCACCAAATTGCAGATTCAACGAGAAAACAGAAAATGTCCCACTATGAAAAACAAATCAATAAGCTGGTTGCTTTAATTTGGTTTAGAAGCTGTGAAACCTCATATTATATTTATACTGTACTATGTCTACATCCCAACAGGATACCAACAAATAGGTCGCTTACATAACTGTGTGAAAATTATGAGCGCATATCCTTTATTTAGAAACCCAGTGATACTGGGCTATTAATAACTACAGGATATTCCCAAGACAAAGGAGCGTTTTCAATGTCTGGTCTAATGATTGCACAAATGTTTGACACAATATCCGCGCAGCAAAAAAGAGGGGGGTGGGGGGGGGGGGATGGCGAGGAGCATAAGGGTTAGACACCATGAGCCTTACACCCCTCTTACCCCCTCCCCTTCCCCGCCCCTTGCATGAATTTGTGAGGCGGAAGGGCAAGCTACCCCCTCCCCCAACCATGTATATGAGTTATCATTTTATGTTTTTGTTTTAACATGTCAATACTATTTCAATTATGTTGTTTATGTGTAATGATATGTTTATTAGGCACCCTGCATATTATTATTGTGAGACGCCGTGGTGTAGCGGCTAGACGCTAGGCTGCGGATGGAAAGGTCGTGGGTTCGAGTCCTAACGGATCCAGACATTCTTAAGAAATTACCTTGCTCGACCAAGCCTTAAATGAGTACCAGGTACAGTCCTGGAAAGTAAAGGCAGTCAGTGGGATGTTGACCGCATTACCCAACAAGTGTCGATTGGTCTATAAAATATGTGTCCATCTCTATATGCCCAATAAGCCTGAAAACATAGAACAGGTCCTTATTTTACTTTACTTACTACTGCTGTTGTTGTTGTTATTATTTTTATCCGAGCACTCGCAGGGGTAACAGAACAAGCGGCCGCACATGCGGTAATCGTTTCAGACTCTATTAACGTGCTTCAGAAAATCGCTACAGGGAGTCTACCATCTGAATGGGTAGAAAGCATTCGCAGGTAACCTCCATCATCTGGATCTACGCACCTAGGCACACAGGAGTAAATAGTAATGAAAAAGCTGACCAGCTGGAAAGTAATGCAGCAATGCAAACAGGAAAAAGCATGGGCAGAGCTGATAACATGAACGCTGTACATGCTAGGCTGGGGGATCATGTTGAATCTCTGATGCTAACTCGATTGCGTGACCGAGGAGTTTAGCTTGGTGAAGTACGTCTATGCCATCTTGGAGCTAAAGACAGGAGACCATATAACCAACATCTTATGGAAACAATCAATAGAGGTACCTTGTTGTAGCTGCATGGGCGGACTTAGCACGCAAGTGCAAAGACGTCGATTGTGCTAACATTACATTATTATTATTATTAATATTATTATTATTAGGCAATAATCCAAAGCTTAGACTCTTTGAGGTCCAACTCCTCCCTCCCTCCATTAAAAAAAATGTCAGCAGATTAAATCCTCCCTCCCCCCCCCCCCCTTTTTCCGCTAAAATATTATGTTTGCTCTGCGCCCCAGTAGGCTGCCCTAGTATTCCTAGTTGTAATTTTATTAACATTAGAATTGGGCTTCCAGGATCTAAACCTATGGGCTTGCCATCATCTTGGTTAATTATGCTTAAAGAGCCCATTTTCGCACAAGTGGTTGCTTTGTACATGTGGAACTGGACCAGTCTTCTTTATACCGTCGGCCCGCGGACCACTGGTGGGTGGCGGAAAAGCTCAAATGAGCACCACAAATTCAACTCAATTGTGTAACGAGACAGAGTATGTGTCGTTATTTATTTTCAACTTTTCCAGTGTGTAAGATTACCATCTAAAAGGCATTCTACTCTGTGAAAATACTTTCTCAGACAGGTCAGCATTAGAAACCGAACAGAGAAATCGAATGAACTGTAATGTAGCGCCTCGTCTATCAGAAACAAGGGAGCCACTCACATATATAAGACTGTCCAACCTCTAAGTACTCACAGTAACTTAAAATTTTAATTCTGTGACATCGAATTTGTAAAAGGTCATCTACGTTAGCTTTGTGTGTGTGTGTGTGTGTGTGTGCGCGCGCGCGCGCGTGTGTGTGTATTTGTTTGAATGTGCCCGCACAGCAATAGTTCCGTCCTCTACCATTCATGCCGCGGTAGGTCGCACGGCCTGTCCTATGTTATAGGGTGTTATGCGATGGCTTCATTCGGCGTTCGCTCGTCGTATGTAATGTTTGTGGTAGGCGGCGATGTTGTGAGTCTCTTTAGGGCGCCGCAAGCGCCTGTGTACAAGTAGGGGAAGGCGCCAAATGCGCGAATGTCTGTGAGTATTGAAGCTGGGATGATTTTTGTTTATTTCTACGTTCCTTGGCGGTTCCCCCCCCCCCCCTTTTTTTTTTTCAACCAAAAAAAGATGCCACTGACAAGCAACGTAGAAATACAAAAACATCCCATTTTCGATATTCACAAACAGTCGGGCAAGTAGCACAACGTGGAAATAAATCATGCAAGTGAGCGACACGAGAAAAGATAGAACAATTAAACCGTTGAAAAAAAAATACGGTACAAACCCCCCCCCCCTTTTTTTAGTATTTCCTGTGTTTGGGGTGTATGAAAGATAAAGTACCGAGAAAGATAGAATGAGAAAATGACGAAGCAGAAAAGGTGGGGTAGGAGAGGGGGAAATACCCCATCGCCGTTTCTT